GATCTCCTGTTTCTTGACAGGGAGACAACAGTATGAATTAACGCAAGTCATTTTCTGGCCATACGGTTTGCACTCGACTGTAGAGGAACATCGTTTGACCGCCGGTGTCCCGTCCGCACAAGATCCTAAAAATATACATAAATTATTGGCGATTTAGAAACTCGTAAAATTTCATCTACCGAAAGTTTTGCATTTAATAACATGAAATGTTTTACTCCATAATCCAGCCGGTTCCCATCGCGGATTGCGAACTGTCAGTGTCAGTAACGAAGCAATGGTGGCTGGCCGGCAAGCTACTCATTCCTTTTAATGTAGCTATGTTTAGAAGACCTTCGCGAGATGAGGCACCGCTCCATGGTTGGGGGTGAGAATCCGTTGGAGAAGAGGTGGGTGGACTTGAGCTCACCGAGGAAAACTCTGACTAGACAAAGCTTCTAAAAGCCGTCAGCTGGAACCCAGCTCAGCTGGGGTAAATGGCAAACGGACGTTTTGCTCAAGACGCCTGAAACACATTGATACTAGCCAAAACCATTTGCCAAGATCGAAAGAAATGGAAAGCACAAATAGGAATGACCGTCAATCGTCTGTGTGCAGTTAGACAGTCAGACTGCGGCGGACAACAACCCATGATTGATGGATAACCGATGGACTTCAGAAGTGACGGGAAGTGACGGCTTGATACTTGGGGGCTGTAGGCGTTCATTACGAATACCTGGGCACGTGACAGTCAAACGCGGGCATCGAGACTAGGCAATAGTGAACCGGTAATTCCGTCAGTTACGAAGAAAAATGTCAATTGCTGTTGTGTACACAAAATGTCCAGATACGATGATCACATGATCACAACTGACGTGTCATCACTGACCATGTTTTAATACCTAACAGTAGAGCCTGCTGACATTTCTGTTCTACCGTCTATCCCTACTGCATTATTGAAAACAGCGAGTCTTGGACGCTACAGATGGAACAACAGGGACAAATAGCATTTGTAACTGCTAATCTCAAACTTGACGAGGAACATGTTTTAAGTAAATATCGGTCTTACCTATTAGGTTACTTTCTCGTTTCTTGGACTACATGGGATGTAGTTTGTCGCACCTGAATGGACTTTAATGGTTTTTACGTCTGAAGAGTAGGTGGTGTGCTGTTTCATGTTGATCTCCCAGTAAGACCGCGAGTAAAGTCCCATTCATTATTGGTAAGGTCATTGAAAACATCCTTTGCTTAACCAGATAAGCCTAATGATTTAGGAGAGCTTTCAATTCTCGTTTAATGATGATGACTGATCATTTATGTTTTATTCTAACCGTTGTGTTGTTCAAACCTTATATCCCTTTTGT